CCCCGGGCCGTTGTGCGCGTCACGTCTTGGGGTCGTAAACATTTATCTGACTCCCGTCGCTTGTAAACGCCGAGATCGTTACGGTTTATAATTAATCTGGGAAATGTGTCGTTCGGGAACCGCGACGACGACGACGACGACGACGAGGACGAGGAGGAGGAGGAGGAGGAGGAGAGGAGCCGCGAGTGCAACAGCGCCACCTACAGCCCCGACGCAGAAGAAAGACGAGCACAGAGGTTTAAACTATAAACCAGGTCTAAACCAGGACTAAACCAGGACAAAACCAGGTCTAAACCAGGACTAATCCAGGACTAAACCAGGACTAATCCAGGACTAAACCAGGTCTAAACCAAGGACTAAACCAGGACAAAACCAGGACTAAACCAGGACTAAACCAGGACTAAACCAGGACTAAACCAAGGACTAAACCAGGTCTAAACCAGGACTAATCCAGGACTAAACCAGGACTAATCCAGGACTAAACCAGGACTAATCCAGGACTAATCCAGGACTAAACCAGGACTAAACCAGGTCTAAACCAGGACTAATCCAGGACTAAACCAAGGACTAAACCAGGTCTAAACCAGGACTAATCCAGGACTAAACCAGGACTAATCCAGGACTAAACCAGGACTAATCCAGGACTAAACCAGGACTAAACCAGGACTAATCCAGGACTAAACCAGGACTAATCCAGGACTAAACCAGGACTAATCCAGGACTAAAACCAGGACTAAACCAAGGACTAAACCAGGACTAAACCAGGACTAATCCAGGACTAAACCAGGTCTAAACCAAGGACTAAACCAGGACTAAACCAGGACTAAACCAGGACTAAACCAAGGACTAAACCAGGACTAAACCAGGTCTAAACCAGGACTAAACCAGGACTAAACCAGGACTAAACCAGGACTAAACCAGGACTAAACCAGGACTAAACCAGGACTAAACCAAGGACTAAACCAGGACTAAACCTGGTCTAAACAAGGTCTAAACCAGGACTGAACCAGGACTAAACCCAGGACTAAAACTGGACTAAACCAGGTCTAAAAAGAGGTCTAAAACAGGACTAATGTGAGTCTAAAATGGGACTAAACCAGGACTAAAACCAGGACCTGGTTTTGGAGACAAATAATGAAGAAAATAGTTTTAGTTTTTTTCATTTTCTTTTTTTTTTTTGAGACTCAGACGAGTTTATTTCTTTAAAATCTCTCGGCGTCACGACTCGGTTCTGTTCTCTGCTCACAGGAAGTGGAAGATCAGTGGAAGTGGAAGTGCTGCCCCCTGCTGTCCGACACACACATCACACTCCTGCGTTTACACTCTCGCGCCGCTCGGTGACAGGCGCCGCTCGGTGACAGGCGCCGCTCGGTGACAGGCGCCGCTCGGTGACAGGCGCCGCTCGGTGACAGGCGCCGCTCGGTGACAGGCGCCGCTCCGCCCTCCCGCCCACTCCTGTAATTGCGCCCCCTGCAGCGTGAGTGGAGCTGAGCGGGTTGTGGGTGTGATTGCCGCCGCTGCTGCTCCTGCGTCTCATCACGGCTCTGATGACAGGAGACGAGAAATCAGAAAAACATGAGAGTCTGAAGAGTCTGTGATCTCAGAAATGAATAAAACTGAAAATATATCGGTGTATCGTGTTGTTTAGTTTGATCGTGCAGTATCGGTATCGTGGGCTGCTGTTTCGATAAATCGCCAAGAGTGTTTTTTTTTTTTTTTTTGTTTTTCATCGTTTTTTTCGTCACAAACACAAACCTGGAGATGTGTTTTGTTTCATTCACATGTTTACAGGTCTAAACCAGGTCTAAACCAGGTCTAAACCAGGTCTAAACCAGGTCTAAACCAGGTCTAAACCAGGTCTAAACCAGGTCTAAACCAGGTCTAAACCAGGTCTAAACCAGGTCTAAACCAGGTCTAAACCAGGTCTAAACCAGGTCTAAACCAGGTCTAAACCAGGTCTAAACCAGGTCTAAACCAGGTCTAAACCAGGTCTAAACCAGGTCTAAACCAGGTCTAAACCAGGTCTAAACCAGGTCTAAACCAGGTCTAAACCAGGTCTAAACCAGGTCTAAACCAGGTCTAAACCAGGTCTAAACCAGGTCTAAAACCAGGTCTAAACCAGGTCTAAACCAGGTCTAAACCAGGTCTAAACCAGGTCTAAACCAGGTCTAAACCAGGTCTAAACCAGGGTCTAAACCAGATCTAAACCAGGTCTAAACCAGGTAAACTAAACCAGGTCTAAACCAGGAAAACCAGGATTAAACCAGGTCTAAACCAGGTCTAAACCAGGTCTAAACCAGGTAAACCAGGAAACCAGGTCTAAACCAGGTCTAAACCAGGTCTAAACCAGGTCTAAACCAGGTCTAAACCAGGTCTAAACCAGGTCTAAACCAGGTCTAAACCAGATCTAAACCAGGTCTAAACCAGGTCTAAACCAGGTCTAAACCAGGTCTAAACCAGGTCTCTAAACCAGGTAAACCAGGTCTAAACCAGATCTAAA